TAAGAAATGAAAGGATAGAGAAGATATGATGTGAGAGATTTGAGTTGAGGGTGTAGTTTTATAAAGGGATTTAAAAGATAGAGTTACACGTGGTACAATTTTAGATGGTGAAAATCTTATCTGATATATGATATTAGAATTTTATAATAAATATTGACATTTGACAACCGAGAATCTTATCCGAAAATCTTATCTGAAGTTTGAGATCTGAATGTTATAACAAAATATGGACATGTGGCAGCCAAAAATCTTATTAGAAAATTTTATCCAAAATTTTAGGTGAGAATTTTATAATCAATAGTGACATATAGCAACCAAAAATCTTCTCAAAATTAATGGTCTAAGTATAAAAAATAGAAAATAAATTAAAGTAAATAGTAATTGCCCTTGCCTTTGCTCTTGCCATTTGGGGTGGAAATAAAAAAGGCAAGGGCTGCCACTATTCAGGTGAATAGTGACAAGCCTAGCCTTACCTTTGCCTTGCCCTTACCCTTTGGGCCTCGTTTGGTTTATGGAAAAGGAGGTTTGGAGATGGAAAATCAATTGCTTTATCATGTTTGGTAAGTCCAGACATTGGAAATCATTGCCTTGCACACCAGAAAATAAGGGGAAAGTGAAGTCCCTCTCCCCTCTTCGGTTTTGTTTTCCTCCTCATAGGAAAATTTGGGAAAATGAGCCCAACATTAAATACACATTTTTCATGACCATGTTGTCTCTATTAACAATTTAGAATTACAATATAGCATTAAATGCATTCTTTTTTTATTTGATTTTATATGGGTATAATTGGAAAATTAAACAAACTTTTTTTATATTTCTACACAAACCAAACATGTGAAAGGAAATAAAGTGGTATTTCTTGATTACTTTCCCAAAATTATCAAACATGTGAAAGGAATCTCCATTTCCCATCCCTTGAGAAATGACATGGGAAGCGATTTCCCCTCAAATCCGTTCCGTGAACCAAACAAGGCCTTGGGGTGGAAGTGCTCTAAGAGCATCTCCACCCCAAAGGGCTAAGGCTAAGGCAAGGGCAAGGCAAGGGATGCTACTATTCACGTGAATAGTGGCAGCCTTGCCATTTGTGGTTCTACCCCAAAAGGTTGAGGCTAAGGCAATTACTATTCATTGTACTTTACTTTCTATTTTTTTTATACTTTAAACCATTAATTTTGATAATCTTTTGTAATTAAATTTTCGGATAAGATTTTTGGTTGCCATGTGTCCATCATTTTTCAGAAAAAAATTTTTGGATGAGAATCTCGGTTGCCATGTGTCTTATTCCAAATAAAATTTTCGGATATTCATTACAAAAAATTATAATCTCAGATTTCTGATAAGATTTTCACCCTCTAAAATTGTGCCACGTGTCTCATGTCAAATAAGATTTTCATATATTTAAAAAAAATTATAATCTCATATTTCAGATAAGATTTTCACCCTCTAAAATTGTACCACGTGTCATCTCTATCTTCTGAATCCTTCTATAAAACTACATCATCAACTCATACCTCTTACACCATCTCTTATCTATTCCTTCATTTCTCAGATTTTACAAAACACATCTCAATGTCAAACTTGAGGAGGGTGTTGGAGAGGCAACAGAAAGAAGAGGAAGAAATTCGGCGCAGACGTGTTGATGAAGATCGGGAAGGCGATGACGAAGAGGAAGAAATGCTTGCAGCAGCGGTGTGTGTGCTTAATCAATCAAGGCAACACCGCCATCGTCATGCCCCGAATGTGGACAGACGTAGGGAGTCTCGGGGTAAGAATATCTTGGAAGATTACTTTATCCCAAATTCGTTATATCTTGTTTCTAAGTTTCGACAGAGATATAGCATGTAGTCACATTTGTTCCAAAAAATTATGCATGATATTTGTAATTACGACACATACTTCATTCAAAAGTATGATGCTATTGGAGTTTTGGGTCTTCTCCCAGAGCAAAAACTTACAGCTGCTCTGCGGATGCTTGCTTATGGGGCATCTGCAGAGCAGGTGGATGAGATTGCAAGGATGGGAAAATCAAGTATCCTAGAGTGCTTTGTGAGATTCTGTGATGTAGTGAAAAATTTGTACACGAGGGAGTACCTTCGCAAACCTACGCCGAGGGACCTGCAAAGGCTTCTACAAAAAGCTGAGACTCGAGGTTTCCCAGGAATGATTGGAAGCATCGATTGCATGCACTAACAGTGGAAGAATTGTCCTACTGCTTGGGAAGGAGACTACGGGAATCGAAAGGGCCAAAAAAGTATAATTTTGGAGGCCGTAGCTTCATTCGACTATTGGGTTTGACATGCCTTCTTCGGGGTTGCTGGATCTCAGAATGACCTCAATGTCATTGATCAATCCCCGGTGTTCGACAAGGTATTGCGAGGTCATTCCCCCTAGATCACGTACCAAATCAACAATACCGTATACTCTGGTGCATACTACCTTGCTGACAAAATTTATCCTAGGTGGACGACATTCGTGAAAACAATTCTAAATCCCTAATCTGAGAAGGAAACAAGCTTTGCTGCATTTCAAGAAGGTTACAAGAAAGACGTGAAAAGGTGTTTTGGTATCTTGCAAGCTCGTTGGGTAATTATTAGGAGTGCTGCTCAGATGCTAGATGAGGAGGTGCTGCGGAGCATTATGATGACTTGCATCATCCTCCACAACATGATTGTGGAGGATGAGTATGATTATGGTGTTCTAGATGTGTTTGAACCCGATTCCATGAACACTGCATTGACAAGAATATATGAAAGGCCGATGGGACCAAATGGACAACCAATGGAGCCCGAACCGTTAATTCGGGATGGTCGATACAACAACCCCATGATTGATCATTATCAAGAAATACAATCTTCATATGTTCATGAGATACGTCAAGTTGACTTGATCGAGCACTTGTGGGAGATGAAAGGCAATCACAGTGGATGAAGTCAAGATTAGTGCTTTATTTGGAATTATGCTTTATTTTGTGTGTGGTGTTTTTTGGAATTATGTTTTTTATTATTATTATGTTTTTAAGTATGGTTTGTTTTGTGTGTTGTTTGTAATAAATTAAGGTTTGTTTTTAATTAATCTTTGTTTTGATGCGCAAATGTTTTTAATAAATAGTCATATTATTTAATGCTTTCTTTATTGAATAAAAAGGAAACAATACAACAAATTAATACATATAGCAAATCTTTCAATACAACCTAATGGTTTTGATCATTTAACCAATCCATATTGCTAGGTCCGTCGTCATGGAAAAATTTTCTTCTCATCACATCCCTTCGTCTTAGCTTCCAATAGGCCTTTGTTTCAGGAGACATATGGCTCGTATCCCTGGCCATGATTTTCATTTATCTATCCTCCATGTCTTTTTCTTGTGCCTGGTGCTGTTGAATTGCAAATGTTTCCTGTCGTGCCATGTCCGCTTCTTCTCTTTTCAAGTCTCTCTCAATTCTTAGTCCGGTGCTCTTAGCTATTTGCTCCAAAAATTGTACACATTCATTGTTCGAAGTGCTCCCTCTCTTGGCCTTTGCCGCTTTTCTCCCAATAGGTCTTGGCGGACGTGGGAGTGGTGACTCCATTTCCATTCAGGAGTCCAATGGCGAATCAGTTGATGGCGAATCGTGGAGCGGAGTCTCATTCAACACAACCGCCGGACCTGTGGGAATAATTTTGAATCTCGAACAATCCTTCACAACTTCCCAACATTCGTGATGTAATAAACTTTTTTTGCCTTGGCCCATGGCACCGAACCAAACTTGTGCTTGTATGATCTATTAAAAATAAATAATTGGAAGTGCAAGAAAAAAAAAGATTATGCAAGAAAGCATAAACAATTTTGAAATGCAAGAAAAAAAATTGATTATGCAAGAAAATATAGACAAATTAGAAATGCAAAAAAAAAAAAAAAAAAAGATTATGCAAGAAAAAGAAAAAGAATATGCAATTAAAAAAAAGTTACACTAAATTGATTAAAATGACAATTATAAATATTTTACCTCATCAGATAGATTTTGACCGCTTCGAATGTTCTGCCTTGCTTTTGTCAACGCATTTCTCCATTTCCCTAACTCTCTATTCAGAATTTTCTATCTACTAGACAACGCCATTTCGGTCCGAATAGAACCCGACCTTTGACAAAATTCTCCATGAATTTTGCTCCACATATGAGAGAACTTCATCTCATTGCCCGTGATAGGGCAATGACTAACGTTCACCCAAGACTGACACAACGCAATATCTTCCTGAGTTGTCCACTCGCCTCCAGCTTCGACAGAAGATGCCATTTGTTTTTTATACAAATGGAAAGTAGTAGAAAAATGTGAGTGGAAAGTAAAACATATTGGAAGGAGAAGAAATTGTATGAAGATTTGGTGTGGAAAGTGAATAAAATTGTTAGGTATTTATAGGGAAAAAATCCAGAATTTTTTCGAATTTTTTTTTTTTAGCAAAAAAAAGGAGGACTGTCGGATTTCTGGAAAAAAAACGATCGGAGCGTTTGGGTTGGGACACGTGGCGTTTTCCCGCTGGATTCTGTCAAGGATGACATTAGCGGTGACGTAGAGTTGACGTCATCGAGCGGAAGTCAAATTTTTTTATGCGCCAATGGTAAAAAAATTTCAAATTTTGCTCGCTGACGTTAGCGTGACGTCACTGCCTTCGGGCTAAAGCCCAGGCAAGATCTGTCATTGGGCTTCCCCGAGCTGCTTCTTCTGTGCTGAAGTTCCAAAACTGAGCAAAGGGGCCTCTTGCCCTAGCAAAAGGCCCTGCACTGGAGGTGGCCTAAGGGGGAGAGGAAACCATTAGAGCACTCCACATCCTTTGTGTAGCACATCTCTCTAATAATATTTGCCCCACTTATACTAGAAAATGTGCTACATAATCAAGTTGTCTCCCTAGAATTTTCATGTGCAAAAAAGAACAAGAAAAAAAAGAAAAAAAAAAAGAAACTAGTTCTAACGAAATAAAAGAAAGGAGAAAACTAATTTATTTTAAATTTAAAACTCCTCTTGCATATATATAGCTTAGGCGGGGTAAGTGAGTCTCTGGAGAGAATTCTACTACTACTCTCCAGTTCACTCATACACATACATTAAGGAAGAAGACGAATGAGATTATGGCGATGGACACCAATTTCGCATCCTCATTGTTTGAGAATCTAAACCTGGAAGATCCATGGCTTCCTCCAACTACCTGGGAATCGATCCCATCCGAAAGCGGAAATTTCCATCTTCGAAACCCCAAGTCCTCTTCCTCTCACTCCCTCTACCATGCCTCCACCGTCTCCGTAAGTCCCGTTTTCTCTCAATTTAGGGTTTCATTCCTAAATTCCTTCCATTTTCCAAGTTTTCTGTTTGTTTCCATGGAAAATTGAATTTTGAAGGAAAATCTTTTTGTATTTAATTTAAGAAAAATGTGAACATTTGGGAACAGGAGGCAAGTTTGGTGCGGTTGGCGATGAATGCACTGCAAGGAGTTGAATCGGCCCTTGTTAGCATCCAGAAGCTTTCTGCTGCATTTTGCTCTGACCCGGCTGATAGGACTTTCCATCAGATTCCAAGTCTGTGGAATAGGTCTTCAAGCACTCATGCTCTGGGAAACATTCTCCAGCCCATTGGCTGCTCAGGTTTGCTTGTCTTTCTTCTCCGGAAATTTGTGGACTACTTTTCGAATTTGAATGTGGAAAGTGAAGACCATGTTGATGGTGAAGCTCAAGTGAAACAGTGCCCTCCATATAGTCTTGTTAATCATGCTTTCGCTGTTTCGGTGGGAAAGGTTGTGGAAGGTTACATGTGTGCACTGGATACCTTGTATGCATCAGTGGGTTTGAGGCGCTCTTCGTGTTCGTCTTCTGTGGTGGGATGTCTGAACAGTGTAGTGTATTCTGAACTTACTTTGTTGGAGTTCGATTTGCACACAAAGGAATTGAGGACTCAGATTGAAGCCCTTACGAACTTATGCAACTTATATCAATTCTCTAGTTGTTTCTCAGTATCCTCTCTTGAAGAATTGATTACAAAAGCAAATTTGGAATTTTGTAATTTCTACAGAGGAGGGGATTTACTCTCATATCTGTATACTCATTTACAGGTTAGATTACTTTGCTTTTCCCAACATGAAACTTCGTAATTTTAGCATGGAATGCCATTTTTTTTTCCTTCAAGTTTGTTGTTATGGCATACTCTCACGTGGCTGTAATTGTCTTAATGGTAATGGACACTGCAGTGACATAAAAAGTCTAGTAACATAAATGTTTTAAAGGGTTAAATTCTGCTAATGGACACTCATTGACATATTTATTTATTCTTTGTTTAGGTTGCTGATCCTGCTCATCGTCCTTTACTCAAATTTCTTTTTCTTCATACATGTGAACCATATTGTGGCTTTATTAGATCATGGATATTCAAAGCTGAGATTAGTGACCCTTACAAGGAGTTTGTTGTAGAATATGCTGACAGTCTATCTCCAAATCAACATGGTAAAGCCGACATCTCTATTGACTTCCCATTGGCAACTATTAGGGTAATGCTGTTACCTTTAATATTGGAAAATTGGAATTAAATTCTGTTTTCATTGAATACATGATTCTCTTCTTCGTATCAGTTCTCATGGTTACCATTTGTGCCTCAGGAACAAGATGGAGTTTCTGTTCCTTGTTTTTTGAAGGACGTCTTGATTCCACTTGTCAGAGCTGGTCAGCAGCTGCAAGTTCTAGTGAAATTGCTTGAATTGTGTACTTTTGTTGCCACCAACAACCATACTTACGAGGGTTTTCTTCCCTGCTGGACTGGATTTTCTGGCAATTGTCCATATTATTCGCCTCCATTGACATTTATAAAAGGAAATGTAGAGGCCACGTTACTTTCAAGGGACAGATATTACAGAAGAATGCAGGAAAAACTCGAGAATCTTTCAGCGAAATTAGAGTTCAGATATCAACAGGTCATCCACTCTGATAATTTAGTTTCTTTATATAGAAACTTTGTTATTATGCAAAAAAAATGATGCCATTATAACTCTAATTAGTTTTATATATTTTTGTCTTTGTTTCTTAGTTGCAGCATGCAACGCAAATAGCATTTTCTTCAGTTTCCAGTCAATGTAGAGATATGATGTCTTTGCATTCCTAGGCATAATTATAGTCTGTCTGTATTTAATTTACAATTAGCCTTGATGGTTTATTACATTCAAATTCCTCTCTCTTAATAGCTCATGCCACTACAGTCCTAGGTTGAACTAATTCTTTTCAGATGCAGATACCAGACTGTCGCTCTGATTTATTATTATAATTTTTCAAAGGTATGCTGCTGGTTTGCAGTAACCTATAATGCTGTGAGGTACAAACTCTGCTTATGATGAGCAAATTGGTTTTATGCAGTGCATATATACCCCCCGCCCCCTCCCTTTTTTTAATAACTAAGATGCAAAGCGGAACAAGATACTAATAAACTGATTTAAGTTTTATACTTTTTATAATTAGATGCTCCATAAGCGACAAGGTTAGTGCTGATAGAAGTAGACATTACTCAGTTTGTTTTTATGACTTGCCACTTTTGACATGCCATTGTTGCCTTCAGGTAGGCTGTTGGTACAAAAAAAAAGGGTTTGGAATTTCAGTGTTACAGATTTTTCAATTTAAACTATGTCCTGGCTTATAGATGCCTCTCTTTCATTCATCTACAACTCTGCTCTTTACAAGGAGGATTCAGGGTTGTGAATGAGAGAAACATATGTTTCATGTCTACCTGCTTTCATACAGTTTTGCTGCAATGCTAGTTTCTGTTGTTATCTGGTTTCTAATAATTTGATTGTTTTTATTTATGCAGGTAGTTCAACCAGGTACACTGCCTGTTCTCTTGGATAATGGTGGTAGGAGTTCAACCAACCCAGGTTTATTTGCTTTGGATGACAATTTTATTCCTTCTCCAACAAATGATAAAAGGGAGTCAAATGGGTAATCTCTCTCGCTCTCCCCCACCCCACCCCACCCCCATATGTGTGGATAGATGTATGTATGCGTATGCTGTCTACATGACTGTTGCGCTTCTGCATGCGTGGTTCTTCATACCATGTGTTGGTGAATACATATGTTCCTTTATCCTGTTTCTTGTTCTTTCCTTCCAAATGTTGTTGCAGCTTCATGAATGATTAGATTTCTCTAATTCTCAGCCTCTAATTCTCAGGGTTCATGATTTGGATTCTGGTGAGTTAAGTGCAAGGGATGGTCTATTTGACCTCACGGATTCTTACGAGTCATCTGAATGTTCATTTGACAGTACTTCTGCAGAGCAAAATGTGTCTGAGCAGATGGTCGAGCTTCCCAATCATATTGTTGGGCTGGAACAAAAATATTTATCTGCCTTAAGCTTTTCAATGAGTATGCCCGTTGATAATTTGCAAAAGCCTCATGTATGTGAAGAGTCATGCCATATAGTAAGTGACCAGAGTAGACTTTGTGAAAGAAGAGATGCCCTAGCACATTCTCATCATAAAGGTGTGTTTACAAGTCAATTATCTGTGCCCTTAAAACCAAAAGAATCGAACTTGTCAGCTATGTCTGATGTTCAGTTTGCAGATTGTCTATCTGATAAGGACTGGCCAGAAGGTGGTCTTTTTGAGAGTTATTCTGCCATTGATGAAGAGTACAAAGATGGTCGAAGGTCACATCCAATGGATTCTCCCTCAAAGGTGAATGAAAGAATACTAGAGGCCTTAAAGGAGGGCACATCATATTTCAGAAAAGGAGTTGGGACTAATAGTGCTTTAATTGAAGAAGCCTATGGCAAGGATCAACCTCAAAATGTGACATATACTTCTTCAGATTTATTTACATTACAACAGTGGAAAGTTAACTCCCATAACAATTTTCTCAGCATGAATCCAATGTTGACAAAGAATAACTTACTTCACCTGATAACCAAGCCTGGAGAGAGATATGGAAGGCAATTTGGACATTCTTTGCCTTGCTTTGAATTTTCTTTGATAAAAGACCCTTTTAAGGTGGATCTGGAAAAGCTACCTGCAGGGCTCATGGACTCCAATGCCTCTGTTACCAGTGTTAAGAGTGATCGCTTTCGGAAACAAGATTTTGGTGGGGATAGTATCTCGATTGATAAAACCAAATTATCTGATTCTATTCCATTTTCAGACTCAAAGGACCACGACCAAGAAAATGCTAATTTAACAAATGTTTCCGGTGGTAGTTGTTGGGCGAGTTTGCTTGGTAGATTCAGTGACACTGTTGTTAATAGAGTTGAAGATCACAGACAAAGCTTGTCAGAAATTTTTGAGATACCACTTGATTTTATTATCGACAAATGCCTTCTGCAGGAAATCATGCTTCAGTATCCTTATTTCTGTGCATTAAGTAGAAGGAAGATTCATCTGGTTCTGTTTATGGTTATTTTTTCTTGCTCGTCTATGCTAGGTTGGGCACAGCCTTAATAGAATATTTTATGACTATCAGTTTGTGTGCTTTGTTTTGGTGCTTGATTGCTTGTTAACAATTTTAAGGTTTTGTGTCTGTTTCATGTTGTTGCCATTGGAAGAGAGATGTTGTCCTTAAAAATGCTAGATATAAGTATGTCAGCAAGTTAACTATTAAGTTGCTTGAAGAAGGATTTGATTTGCAAGAACATTTACTGGCTCTGCGGCGATACCACTTTATGGAACTAGCGGACTGGGCAGATTTGTTTATTATGTCCCTTTGGCATCATGTAATAATCATTTCATGTCATTACTCAATACTACTTTCTGATTCGTCATAGTACCATCTGATTCGATTTCTTTTTCTTGTTCTTCTGGAAATTATAGAAATGGTGTGTTACAGAGGCAGATCATAGACTTTCAGAAATTCAAGGTTTCCTTGAGTCATCAGTTCAGAGGTCATCATGTGAACGTGACCCTCATAAGGACAGGTTATTTGTGTACATGAAAGGACATGATGCAATGCCTCTTTCAGCATCTGTTACTGGTACATTATTATACTGTTGTTCCCAATGTTTCATCATCTATTGGCACATCAATTGATTGTTGTTCAAATAAGTTTATAATGTCGAAAAAAAGCATTTAGTGCATCCCCTCTTTTTGTTCATTTCAGATTTGGTTATGCTTGGAATTTTGAAACACATTTTTAAATTCTTTTGGCATTTCTTCTGTCATCTCTCTCTCTCTCTCTCTCTCTCTCTCTCTCTCTCTCTCTCTCTCTCTCTCTCCACCCTCTAATATTTTACCTGTCAATTATGCAGGAGTCCATTCCTTCAATTTTCTTGGTTTGGGTTATAGAGTAGACTGGCCAATCAGTATTATTTTGAGTCCTAGTGCATTGAAAATGTATGCTGAGATATTCAGCTTTCTGATACAAGTGAAGCTTGCTATTTTCTCATTGACTGATGTATGGCGCCAATTAAAGGTATGGATTTTTTGACTGATTAAAAGCTTAAGGCCCGTTCAGTAATGTTTTTGGAGAATGTTTTATGAGAATATTTTATGAGAATGAAAACGAGAAAACAAGAAAATGAATTTGCAGTTTCAGGATTCGAAAATGCCTTTGGTAGATTAATTGGAAAACAGGTTTAGAAAATAAAAATAGTGAAAACGTATCTGGTAGGACAATTTGAGAATAATAATTTGTCAGTTATTTTTCAAGTATATTTTTGGCTAATTTCTATCCTACAAAATTTATTTTTGAAAAATTCTGAAATTTTAAAGGCTTAAATTATTACAAACAATGAAAAATGTATACTTTGAGAATAATAATGTATAATTAAAATAAATAAATAAATCTTATTTTAGAAAAACCTAGATAATAAAATAATATTATCATTAGTTTAAAATAAATATTTAAACATAAACATGAAATTGAATAATATATGATGGTTTTATCATAAAATTAATATACACTGTTGTAGCAAAATAAAATAATGAAGTGGAACGAAAAAACTAAAAATTGAAAAAAAAAAAAAAAAAAAAAAGACAAAGGAAAAAAATTTTAAAAATGAAAAACAGAAAAGAAAAATCAGACCAACCAAAAAAAAAATTGAAAAAAGAAAAGAAAAGAAAAAGAAAGGAATCAGACCAATACATTAGGTAGAAAATGAAAACGATAATTTGGTGTTTTCAGTATTTGTACATGAGTTTGAATTTGTTTTCAGAAAACAATTCCAGTGAAAATGAAAACGACATACTGAATGTGTTTTTGGTAGAAAATGAAGGCAGAAAATGAAAACGGGGCCTTGAAAACATTACCGAACAGCCCCTTAGTGTAGGTGTTTATTAATCTCCCCCCATCCTAAAACTTCTCTTGCCCAGCTAGAGCTCTGAAGCTTCAACTTCTAGAACGGGGTGAGATATCATTTAGCGATAGAGGCTGGGTCATATAGCATTCATTTTTTTGTACCCTTCTGTGCTTTTTGTTAGTGATTTGACATTTCTTTTTCAAATGTGGTTGCACTTTTACCAGCTGATAATTCTTCTGAATCTCAAGCAGTACAACAGTAAAAATATTTCACTGGCAAGAGAACTAACTACTGTTGGTTTGCAATAGGGCATTCTTTGAAGTTGATTTAATTTCTCATTTTGGAACTAAATTCAGGATTGCCGAGACATAAGTCTTCTGTAATATAGTTGAAAATAATGATGTTTTGCTACATGATTTTCCTTTAACTGCCCCTTTTCTTTTTCCCAGTTTCAGACTGCATAAATGCTTGTTTTAATGCCTTAACATAAGTAATTTTCTGTTTTTTCTTCTTCTTGAACTCTCTGTTGACTTTGAAATGTCAACAAGAAAATTTGTTAAATTGTTAACCATACTGTTCCATTTCTTTCGGGGAAAGGCTTTATCATCTAGTTTTCAGGATTTTATTTTTATTTTTTGAGATTGACGACATATATTAGTCTTTGATGAAGTGGGTGAAGTTTTTTGAAGTTTAAATCTGAAAAATAAAGGGTTTGGGTTATGTACATACTTACTTGGATTTGCATTTGGCTCATGGAAGTGCATGGTAATTCATGTGATCCTTTTGTTTTTGTCGCACAAAGGATGCTAAAATTTACTTTATATGTGCAGGATTTGGTGCACTCAATTAGTCAGAATAACAACTCTGAACAAAATGAAAGGGAAGTGAGTCATTTCAATGCATTAGTGAAGATGAGGTACACTGAGCAATTGGTCCTTTTTAAATTTAATTTTGGTGAATTAGGAGCTATTGCTCTCAGTGTATCTGCCTTTGGGATTATTTACTGTAATCCTAATTATATCTGTTAATTAGTTTCCCACATCTGGATTCAGAGATTTATATTTTCCAACACTTGTTTTCTGCTGACGTTTGCTTTCTCGTTGTACTTTTATTTCTTTGGCATGATAAGTTTGAACTTTTCATTCCACCTCATCCTTTCAGATGTTTTGCCTTCATTTTTTTGATGCATCTACTTTGTTTTTTATTGAGTAATGGTAAAGTTCAGAGAAAAAAGATATTATGATTATAAAATGACCTCAAGTTTATAACATGTTTCTAATGAATTTCTTTTTGGTTCACAAATGCGTAAGTTGACATCAGAATAGGAGTTGCTAACATTCTTATTCAAGATTATCATTTTCCCCCTTTGACTCTTCTATTAAAATCAATCATTTACCCAGAAAACAAAAATCAATGGCTGTTTTAGTTGTGGAAAGAAGTATATAATTCCTGCCAGTTCATTTAGTTAGGTCTCTTGTCATCTTAGAAGGGGCCTGGGAATGAATGCTGCATTCACCAAGGCTGTGGGATTTGTAGGATAGGAGAGGACTAACTCTTGCAGGCCTATTGGGCCCCCAATATGTGGCAAAAAAGGGGGAAATAACAGGGGAAAAAGGGAGAAAGAAATAGGGAAGAGCAGCAAGACAGTTGCAGGGTTCATTTCTGACTAATTAAAGTTGTGTTTTGTGAGATGTGTGGGAAACAAATTTTCTAATTGTTGTGGAAAATGAGAACAGATTCATTTGAAATGTCCTCTTCCCCATATGTCTTGAGATGTGTTTCAGCGGATTTCTGTTCTCTTTGGCAAGATTAGAGAAGTTTGAGCTAATGATTTTCGTTTCATGAGATGTTGGGGTGGAGCTCTGGGAACAATAGGGATACTGTTTATTTGATCTAAGAATAGTCTTTTTGACTCTCTGATCTATGCATAGGCACCAGGTCAATCATTTTGTATCTACATTACAGCAATATGTGGAGTCACAGCTATCACATGTATCATGGTGCAGGTTTCTATACTCACTTAAGCATAAGGTTTGAAGCCTGCTATTTTGATCTATAAAGTCTTCATACAATTAAGCCTGAAAGTTGAGTTGAAATGATTACATAATTCATTGTACATCAACTTTGTAGTTGAAATTCCATGTTTTTTGGCATGTTTATGTTCCATAGAATGCTCATGTAATGGCTGAAGTACCTTGCATTTGATGGTGATGAGAGATCTGTTTAAAATAAATGCTATTTGAAATTTTTGCCACCTGACAGGAACGTTGAAATTTTTAAAGCCAATTTTGAATAATCAAAAGATTAATTCCAGTGCTGCAAGTAGTTTGATGAAAATCATCCAAAGCCTGCCCTGCGCAATGAATAACAATGTCTCCTACATTTGTTTTCCCCACCAGTAAATGAAATTCAAAACTGTTTATTTTATCATCGCCAAGGCCTTTGAAATTTGTTTGTTTGCTGCTAGGTCAAACTAGAAGGGAGGTTATAAATTCTATAAATCTGCGGGTATATGGATTATTGCTAGCGCAGACCAATTCTAGATTTGACATGCTGGAGATCTTTTGATATGAAGGTGGTATCTATTTGTGATGCAATATTCTGATAAAAATAAAAACTTCTTTGAAAAGAAGGGAAGAAAATCTCGATTCCAATTTACATAAAAGATTGTATTAATATTGTTGAGTAAATCTGGAAAGTTATTTAATTAAAGTGGTGTCTCACAGATGAAATGCCAGATAGACTTTTATGAATCATATCATGTCTCTTTACACCATATACTCTAAATACTTCTGGTATGCCTTTTGTTCTAGAACTTTGATGAGATATATGATCACATGTTTATAATGAATCATTTTTGTTTTCTTGATCTTAAATTGGCATTTGGTTACTGTAGGTCAAAGATATGATGGATCTTCAGTCTGTACATCTGGCATATTTAATAGATTCGCTTGACATGTAAGTTCAGTGGGTCATTCTATAAACTTTCTTACCATTGTTATATGCATGTCACATGTTTCTTAATTTCTCTGTTTTCTAACTCTATTAATAAAAGAATTCTTATTCACTTACAGTAAATAAGTGAGTAAAAGAAAAGGATTCTTATTCACTTATAGTAAATAAATGAGTGAAAGATTGGCACCAAGTGTGTGCAGTGTGTGAGCACGTTCTATTTTACATCCTTTTGAGTTGTAATATCTCGTTTGTACTTGTTCTTTCCCAGATTGTGGTTTGACATTATATTGTTACCTTGGATTTTCTGTTAACCATGAATCTAACCTTTGCAGATGTTTCCTCTCTGATGAAACACGACCTATAGCTCGGATCATTGAGAGCATTCTGCAGTGTGCTCTTGACTTCAGGTCGTGTCTTACCGGGGAAATGTGGGATGCGGGAACAAGTCAAGGGAATTTAATGGCAAGACTTTCTGGAATCAATATATCTCAGGTGATGCTCACATCTTTAACTTTGTAAAGAACTGTGTTCAGGAAATATAAGTTTAACTAGGAATGCCATTTATAGTAAAGATGGAAGCAACAATGACAGTGAGGTGAAAGGGCAAGAGTGTTGCTAGGTTGGATATTGTGACACCTTTGTTTCTTGTGCAGTTAGAAATCTAGATATACCTACTTCTTTTTTCCTGAAAATAAGAAATCTAAATCAAAAGCAGACATATTTTTCATACTTCTATGATGTGACCCTGTGTTTGTGTTGAATAAACGTTGTGGGAATGGGATTCTTATTCCTTGTATCTCATAAGTGAATCCCATTTTCCTACTTTGTTTTTGTGTGCTGATTAGGGAATGTGACTGGCTGCTGGCCTGCTGTCACAATAAAGCACTACCATTATGGGTTGTGATCCAACTGCATCACGGCCATCGCCACCTATTTCTTTTCCGAAAACCCAAATAGCTACAGATCCAAATCAAGGTCAAAATGTGAAGTACACATCTGTGTTGGTAAAAAACTAACCAAGTCCAGAATTAGAAGCTAACAAGAGCCCTAATGATATGTTTGATTTGTGGGCTTGTGTCACAATAAGGAGTGATTGAGAGAACTGCTAAACTTGATCTATGGGGCAGAAGATGTAAAAAGTGTTCTGGCTGTGGCATTGATAGAGGGGTTGTGGTTGCAATACTATTGGTAAAGGGGGTTGTCGTAAGGGGCATTGCTTAATGCACGTCATATAGTCTATGGAGTGGCTCAGAGGCAATACTATAGGGATTATAGTGATTAAATGCATTGCTGAATGGCAATCCCATATGCAATTTCCGTTCTTATTTTGTGTATTTAAAAAATAAAAATCTGACCTCAAAAAAGTCATTTCCTTGTGGGTGGTGTTCTCATCGGTTTGCAAAAACCGATATCTACATGGTCCCCAATATGGTATATAATATTGCAGCGTTTTTCTTTTGACATGGAAACCTTAATTTGTTCGGAAGTTTTGTATCTTTGTGTGCCTACAATGCAAAGCATAATATATGTTTGCAAGAACACCCAAGTCATCAAGGGAAGGGTTTTGTTGTGTGTATTTTCATCTACATGCATTCATGTGTCATGGCAGCCTAAGCAGATCGCTGTTACTTGAGCTGCCTAAGTAAGCATGCTGGGGTGGTGTGCATCCGGATTCCGAAATGACATTATGGTGGACGTGTGCTGTTTGATTCTAAAATTAGTATTGTAGAGCATTAAAATGAACAATTGTACTCTTGCTCTTAAATAGCAGTTTTAAAATAAGAACCAACCTGTCGATAACATGCATGTGCATCTGTTTTGCAGGTGGTCGTAATAAAACAAACATTTGACAAGAATATGAAAGAACTGCACCTCTGTTACCTCAAGTCACCTAAACATGGGAAATTTGGACTCTCTCATTTTTGGGAATACCTCAACTACAACAAGTATTACTCGGATGTTGGTAATGAAATGGCCTATTATGCCTTCTCAGTCTAAAGCTCTGTGATATGATCGTTGCAGTAAGTGAGAAATGGGGATTCATATCGTGCTTGAAGCAGCTTCATTGATTACGATGGTTGAGGAGGGTAACTTCTCAAAGAATCACAGTGGATGATATGCCCGACCGATGTGCATAAAGTATGCAAGGATTCCTCAGCCCTTGGTAGCTCCATTGGACACGTTGCATATCATTCTTCTCAGTTTGGTCTTGTTCCTTGAGGTAGGAAATTCCTACACTAATCTTTGTTTGGCCTTTTGAAAATCTAAATCACAACGCGTACATTTTTTTTTTCTTCCCCGTTTTGTTTTGTAAGAGTGAAGGATAGTTACTACTTGTTGTCGGACACTAGTGACTTGAGTGTTGAGAGCTGTGTATATGGAGGAGAAATGATTATATCCATTTTGTATTATAGACAATTTTGGTAATGGCATTCGTTGTTTCTCTATTTCTCTTGATCCTGCCAATTCTCTACACTAAACCAATTTTCAAGAGGAATGGGAACTGGATGATTTGGTCGTTTTGTTATGCAAACCCGGAGATACTATTTGTGACATTTGGCCATAAATAAATAAAAAATTTCCAACGTTGCGGATAAAATTGATAGACATTTAGCCATATAAAATTGGCAGTAAAAGTAAAAATGAAGGCTACATGGTAAAATTTCGGAGGCCATTTTTACACTCCATTTTTATCCTCTACTTCCACTTTGATGTTTTCTAAATCTTCTTATTTCTTGTAACCCTTTATGGCTGTAAATAATTTAATTTATGGTCATTCACTTTGGTTGTCTTTTATAAGGAGGATTAGAGAATGATGCGAGCTCACCTTCTAGTACTCAATCACTTTGGTTAACATGGCTACTTGTATTCTCAATGTCGATTTACAGCTGAAGCTTAGCAATTGAAGTTGTTAATAGTTCAGTCCAGCCCAGATATTTCCAGTCCAGCTCAGATCAGAGCCTCCCATCCAGACAGAAATAGAGTTCCAGCTGTCTTTTTATCTTTTCTAGCATGGGTATTTATTTTTATAGTTTTATAAAATGCAGTTCTGCCTAAAACAGCTTAAATTCCATTAACCATTCTGGCCAGAACAATCTCTTTTTACTGAGATAAATTGTTAAAGTCCTCACCAGTCTGAGGCAAGAAAAGAACTTACTTCGGAGATATTCTTCACCCAAATTCACAATCGTTTGTAGAAATCAGTGACTTGAGGCGCAAGTTATCTACTCTAGAATAAGTCTGCTAGGATCTTCATTGCTAGCAGTGGCACGCTCATACACCAAAGAAAGCTGACTTGTTGACCAGTCAATGGTTTTCAAGACAGTGGGGAACTTTGCCCTTCCATCTCAGGAGAAATCACAAAACGAGGTGAACAACTGATAAAAGAGTTATAACCAACACTATTTATTTGGATATGACAATTTTCTAACTGGCTTTGAGTAGTAGGTCAGTTGTAAATAGCTGGGGTTTTGTTTATGCTATGTATTTTTTGTTTATTTTTCACTTAATATACTATAATAGGTTGTTGATAAGTGTTGATTGTTTATTGCTTGTTATTGTCTAGATTGCAACGGACTGAAATTATTTTTATAATATTGGCGTGCAAGGAAATATGGTTTTCCAATTAATTTGATCATTGCAGAGGAAGAAAAGTTCCAAGGAAAAGCATTGTCCCTATCCCATACGAAGACTACAGTCAGTACCATAAATGAGAAATTCAGTCAGCAACAGCTACGAAGGTCTGAAGAGAGTTGTTTTGGTCATCTCCTACTGATTGAGGACCTGAAGTGGACTTCACCAATTGTGCACGGCTTGTTACTGAGGAAGGCTGATCCGAAGACATTTTCCAAGTGAACGGGATCAAATTCATCGTTGGCAATAAGGTGATCCAATTCACGACACAACAATTTTGCGTAGTCACAGGGCTAAGGTTTGGAAACTTTCCCTTTATTCCTATTGCCACTCATGAGAACGGCTCATTGAAAAGGAAGTACTTTGGCAACAATAAAACTGTCAACCTTTTGGAATTAGAAAAAGCCTTTGTCGACTGCACTGATGAGGACGATGTATTGAAGCTTGGATTTGTATACTTTGCTGTTTTTTTGCTGTTGGGGAGTGAAAAACATGTCCACATTGACATGCGATATTTGAAGTTGGCGGAAAACCTTGAAGAGTTTGTGAAGTATCCATGGGGTGCTGTGTCTTATGCCAAGACAAATGGTCACTTCTTAGGGCACTTTGTGCAGATTACCAGCAAGTGAAAGTGCCCAAAAAAGCTGCGAAAACGAAAAAATATGAAAAGAAAGCAAAGACAATGGCAACTGGTAGACCAAGAGAGTACCACCTCAAAGGTTTTGCCTTTGCACTTCAGGTGAGCAAATTTCCATTCATGTTTAAGTTAAATTTCATTTGTTTACAGTGAGTGACGTTTTCTTCCTCAAACCAGATTTCGGTTATGAGGTATTTCCAGCGTTGGCTGCACTACATTTGGTGTTGCACGAAGATAATGCCTACATCCCTCGCATACTACATTGGAGGAGCAATAGTTCGGCTCGTTTTCATGAGCTAATGAGCCAAGTATTCGAGAACCGTGAGGTTAGTTATGTTTTTAATGATAATGTTAGGCATATGAAAATATAATAAGTTTAGTGATATGTATATTGTCTGTGTAAATTGCAGGTTGATGTGCAACTTCTCCGGCCAACTGTAATTGACAAGCAGCAGCCCTATTGGACTTGGGGTGACAATGTTGACGAGACTGAAGAATTTGTTGAATTGTTTGGCGATGAGGCTGAACAAAAAACCACCACTTCTGCCTCTATAGAAGAAAAAGATGATGACATTGACGAAACTGCTAGCCTTCCGTCGTCTTCTAAGGCAAGCATTACCTTGTTTACAATATATACGTCATAATACCGTAGGAAAATAACTGCTGTATTTGGGATATATTTTGGAATTATTGTAACACTTGCATTATAACTGAATGCAGGGCAAACTCGCGTCCAATGAGTTACGCACTTTGAAGTGTGACTTTCAAAGGACAAAGGATGAATTGGCCAATGTAGCCCGTTCAAATAAAGCGCTTCGCAACAGAGTTCATGAGTTGGAAGAAATGGTACGGAAGGAGTCATTGAAACTTGAAAGAGAGTTTGCAAAAAATAAAAAGTGTGTGGAGGATTTTGGCAAGACACTCGCTTCAATGGAACACTATTTTAAGCTGGAGATAGAGTAGCTGAAAAAACGAAATGGTGGGTTCAATGAAGGTGGGGAAGGACATGAGGACCTCGGTAGTCCTCATATGAATGAAGGAGGCGACAATGACTTGTCGCCATTACATGACTATGTTAGTCTGCCTACATAACCGGCAGCAATGGAAACGCAAGTCCCCGGTGATAGAGCCGAACCCTCCACAGCCATGGTAGTCGAAGAGGCAGAAATGACCGCTTTAGTTCCTCACTTACAAGTGCATGAAGCAGCTGAGCAGGCAAAATCCAAGAAGCTGCCTGCCCCAAAAGATGTGGCCGGGTGTGACAAAATCTGCAAAAGACTCTTGTTTTTGTTAGAAGATTGGAAAATAACTGACAGTGTGCCATCGGGAGGTCCGATGAATCCTCCAAGTATACCCAAAGTTAGTATGGTTGGTGATGAAGAAGGTAGTGCGAGTGTTGAAAAAAAAGAAGTGGAAGGTAAAGGGTGCAGAAAGAAGCGCCCGGCCCAGACATTGTTGAGTCCATTTACAATCCTTTGAGGAAGAAGAGGACGATGAGTGTGTTGGATGCGACTGCAATCCCGCCATGTTTTGATCCATCAAAACCCCTGCCAGTAATAGAGTTTTGCTCTGCCTGGAAAAACAATATCAGGTTAGGATTCTTTACCTTCGAAATCCAATCTTCATGTTATTCTAGTATGTACTCATATAGTAATGAGAAAATGTAGAATTTGCTTTAATATACATGTGTATATTTTTCATGAACAAAGTAAGAATTATGAGATGAGTACAAAATTCACCATTGCAAGTTTGCCTATTGTAGTGCGGAGGTGCAGCTGGAATCATGTTCAGTGGGGGCTGATTTTTTCTACAAACTGATCAATGATACAACATGGATTATCTTAAGGGTAAGAATACACAAAGCTCTACTTTATTACGATAATTCAATTGTTTTCTCACCTTTATTAAGTGTACAGTTGTATGAAATTGTGCTGATATTATATACGTCAACTTTCAGCACCTAGACATGGCAACCTTTCTCATCCGAAAAAGGCAACTCTCTCATTCGTTGGTATTTGGAACTCACTGGACAATCACAGATTATTGCTTGCAGGTAAACATCTTACCATGTTACATTCACTGCTTCATTTCTTTCGGTTGTCATTATGTAATATGCCTTCATTTCAATGTCTACAGCAATTTCTAGAGCCGGTGAAAGCGACTACCAAGAAAAGTGGATTAAAGAAGGCAGCTGGTTCAAACATCATTAACCTTCCACCTAGCAAGCTGAATAATATACATCACTTTGTGCGCGATACGTGGCAACACGGGTATGGCCAAGCTTGGACAAAAGTCCGGAAGGTCTATTTTCCATATAATCTTAAAGGGTCCCACTGGGTTGCAATTGAAATTGATTTCGTCAGACATACTTCAACTGTGTATGACTCCTACTCTGATTTTACCGCCACTTCAAAGCTGGTTACACATCTGCACCCTATTAGCAATACGCTGGCACGAGTGCTGTACAATATGCACTTTTATGAAGGTTCTGAGGTTGAAGAGGTTAAGCAAAAGGGGCTGCAGATGTTGAGCTGTATCCCATTCTTAGTTTGCAGCGTTAAAGATGTGCCACAACAATGAGATGGGTAAGCTTTGTGAATTTAGTGCAGTTTATCGATATTTTACATAACTGCAGTTCTAATTTCCCAACTTATTGACATGACAGTACGTCTTGCGGAATCATGACCATAAAATTCATCGAGCTTCTCAGTGCTGGGATTTCGTTGGATCAAGTTGACCCTTTGAAGATCAAATATTACCGACTGAAGCTTGCAAATAGAGGGTTTAAGGGGGGAGGCATATTTATGAGGTAAATGTCTTAATGTTTGTGAATTGAGTTAAGTCTGGACTTATGACTTGGAAATTCACTGTGCTCATTAATTATGTCAGGAACTCGTTTTGTAGAAGATGCAGACGTAGATGCTTTGCTGGAAAATCCTGCCTTTTTGCTAGAGCTAGTTGGTTAGTTATTATGTGTTCCAAGGTGAAATCATTTCCCGGGTCTTTGGGCCTGCTGTATATTGTGAGGTGTCATATTGTACAGTCCAGAAGCAGTGGCTAATTGTCTTACATGACACACACACTGTTTCAATTTTGAAGGTTAACTATTTTGTACACCTCCATATATAAATATAGTTGCTCTTTATGGACACTTGCCTTACATGGTATAACAATTCG